GCGAAGGAAAGCGAGGAAAAGAGGGAAAATTCAAACGAACAATTGCTTTACGCCGAATTGCCGTTATTTGAAAGTGAATGTAAAATGTGCACGCCGCTTTTACAAGCTATTTAAAAGATTTTATATGCTATTTGTGGAGCAGCAGTATGTCTTAAATACTCATGGCACCGTATCGCCATATGCATTGACAGTAGCAAGTTTCTGTACTTGCTTGCAGCAGCAGCAATAATCTATAACTACAGCTATAACCAACAGCAGCAGCAATTCAGCAGCAGCAGCGTAGCAGATCTATTCCGCCAAGACCAAATACATTAACATTGTCATATCCATCACCATGCTAAAATCTTCAGAGGGTTGTCATGATTGAAATATATATATTTGCATATTGCCCAACAGCCTATTTTAATGTCAGCATCATCCAGAAAATGTATTGTTTTATCTGTTGATCCCTTGTTCCGTTTCTCTGCAGAGATTCAGCAGTTTTGGAACTGATTGGATTTAACATGCTTAATAGAGTCTCACTGACTGTCATTCATCCTTCTGGCACTCATTCTGTCTTCATTATCATTACTGCTTTTTATGCAAAATTAGTCCTGTTATTACAAAACCTTTTATTGAAAAGTAATGTTTGCATGTGATGTGTGATGTTTGCATTGTGATGTATGCATTTTCTACTGATCATGGTAGCATTAGGGGCTATTCACACAGAATGTGTTTTTCCACTACACTGCTTTTCCATTGTTTTTCTATGTAAACATGCACTAGAGTAGTGGTTCTCAATCAGGGGTCCGGGGCCCAATAGGGGGCTTCAGTTAACTTCCCAGATGCCTTAAAATATTAAAAACAAACCGTACAAGCTAAAACAAGCATTGAAATAAGCTACAACCAAAATCAAGATGTTTCTTATTTTAATTAACCCCTTTAACAACTGTTTTTTTTTCTTTGAAAACCTGCATATATGAAGAAGCCTAGTTTAGTTTAATTTAATTATCTAGGCTTGGAAAATTCATGTAAATGAATAAAATGTCAAGCTCTAAAATATTTCATTGGGTAAAAATTGTAAGTAAACATTTTTTTTTTTAATATATCCTTAATCCTTGCATGTGTCATGGTACTGTCATGAATGTGTATCGAATTCTGACACAGAAGAGAAGCAATTGTTGAATAAAAGTCATTACTTTTGTTTTCTTTGCACACAAAAAGTATTCTCGTAGCTTCATAACATTACGGTTGAACCCCTGATGTCACAGGAACTATTTTAACGATGTCCTTACTACCTTTTTGGGCCTTGAACGTGGTAGTTGCTTTGTTGTCTATGCATGGTCAGAAAGCTCTCGGATTTCATAAAAAATATCTTAATTTGTGTTCTAAAGATGAACAAAAGTCTTATGGGTTTGGAACGACATGAAGGTCAGTAATTACTGACAGAATTTTCATTTTTGGGTGAACTATCCCTTTAATTTAAAAGAAGTTCAGTTTTAAAAAAGACTAGGGCTGTCAGTCGATTAAAATTTTTAATCTAATTAATTACAAGATGTTTCGATTAGGCTAATTAATCTAATTAATCGCAAAATTAATTTTACTGTGAAAATAGCCACAAAAGATTATTTACAACTATTTTTGTGTTGAATGAGAAAGTATCAAGTAGACATTACAAATTGTAGCTTTAGAAAGAAATATTTTATTTAATTCAACATAAATTACACATAAGCATTTAAGCTATAATGGCCTAACATAAACTATGGAACATAAAAGGATATTTTGAGAAGCATCTCAGTATTTTTTGTTCATACAATGAAAGTCATTGGTAACCATAAACAGCTTTGTTACCAAGTCTTCAAAATACCTTCTTTTATGTTCCACAAAAGAAAGTTTTGAAACGACATGAGGGACGTAAAAGAGTAAATGACAGAATTTAAATTTTTTAAAAATGATTATTATTATTTTTTTTATGAAATGATACTCTAAATAAGAAACTCAAACTACCAGCAGATGGCGGTAAATGTCTTTGTGATTCGATTTGTTCAAACGGCTGATTCATTCAGGAATTCAGTAAACGGCTCACTTATGAATGAACCTTTGATTCATTGATTCACACGATTCGTTCAAACCGCGGATTCATTCAGAAACTAAACACCGCTGTGTTGCTCTGAGACGCACAACAATTCTGCTATGGCTTTAAAGGTAATATGTTGTCTGCAAAATTGAGCAAAAACGCATAATATTGTTTAAAATATAACACAATATCAACTTCTTATTTACTGAACTGTTGTATAAAATCACATTTAAACCACATTTTCGGGACAAAATCAGCACTCGTGTGATATTGCTCGCTGCTCCTGTAGCATTAATATCGCTTATCATATGATATAAATATGAGACAAAAACACATACAGGGTCATTTTTGCACCAATATCTTGAATTTAGGACATAACTGCATTTATGGAGTTGTTGCCCTGCATCATATTTGTCAACAGTCAACTGTATAAAATGTAAGATGATGTACAGGTCGATCTGGGGGCGGGGCCAGTGTGTTAACTGCATTAAAATATTTTAATAGCGTTATTTTTTCATAACTAATTAATTATGTTAACGCGTTAAACTGACAGCCCTAATAAAATCTTGATAACTTCCACAGCGCATATTTAAAGGGGTCATATGATGCGATTTCAATTTTTCCTTTCTCTTTGGAGTGTTACAAGCTCAATGTGTTTTTTGAACCTTAAACCGCATAAACACATTTCATTACACCAAATACACAAAATAATGTTCTTTTTAGCAGAATTATATGACCTCTTTAAAGCAGAAATGTGTTTCTTTTAAACAGCCCCGTAATTCACCAAATGATCAATGGTTGGAGAAGAGCCAAATCTAGATGGGTTATGCTGCCAAACATATTTTGCGTTTTTTTTAAAGTGTTGGTTCAGGTGTCTAGATGGCAGTGCAGTGATGCTGTACGGTCAAAACAAAATATGCCAAATCCAAGAGGTCCGCTGCTTTTTTGGATGTCCGTTGCCTGATTTGCATAATTCCTTTAGTGAACTTGTGCTAATACAAAACAGCCGCAGACGTGTGCAAACAAACAATGTTATCGGCGGGTGAAATTTATTGTTAGTAAAATAAGCTGCAAAAGACACAGGCACAAGTGGAATGTACAAAACATGGTGACATTAATTTTTAAGTAAATATAATGGGCGATATATTGTGTCACCAAAAATGATTGCGGTCATGTACATATATTGCGCTTTAATTGGATATATTGATTATTGTGACAGGCCTAGTTGCAACATGGAATATAAAGGCCATATTTTCAGTAGACAAAATCCTCAAACTCTAATCCTAAAATTGAGAAAAACAGAATCAGATGTGGGTCAGAGTTGGAAAATCATGGCAGACGAGGTAGCGCATGGACACTTAAACAGCAAAAAAAACATGTGCTCACACAAACACATCCACACAGACAGACAGACATATGACTCTCTCAATAACAGAAAGACTGTTATGTTTTGGGCATCATGGGATTTCACATCCCATTTGTTTTTGTGGAAGATAAACTGATGCTGTATGCACATTCATTGATACTGAAACAATAACATGTTGTTAGTAGATGGAGGGATCAGGGTTAATCTGTTCAGTCTGAGCAGACAGATGTTCACATGGATGTGTGTCATGGATATAGCTGATGGCTACAGCTGTTTTCTATTTTAATATAATATAAAAATGTCATTTGTCTTCAGTGTCACATGATCTTTCTAATATGCTGATTCAGTGCTCAAGAAATTATCGATGTTGAAAACAGTTGTGCTGCTTTATTTTTTGTGGAAACGTGATAATGTTTTTTTTTTCTTTAATAGAAAGTTCAAAATAACAGCATAAATTTGAAAAATAAATGTTTTGTAACAATATAGATGTTTTTTTTTGTCTCACTTTTGATCAATTTAATGCATTGTTGCTAAATAAATGTATTAACTTCTTTCAAAAATAAATAAATAATAGTGCTGTTAAACGATTAATCGCATCCAAAATAAAAGTTTGCTTTTACGTAATATATGTGTGTACTGTGTATATTTATTATGTATATATAAATGCACACACATGCGTCGATATATTTAAGAAAAATGTCATATTTATATATAAAATATTTATATTTAAATATAATATAAATTGGATATAAATATAAAAATGTATATACATGTTTGTGTGTGCATTTATATATACATAATATGCACCGTACAATCACGTATATTATGTAAACACAAACTTTTAGTTAATTGAGATTAATCGTTTGACAGCACTAATAAATAAATAAATAAATCTTATTGACCCCAAATTTTTAATGGTGGTGTATAGAGAAATGTGTTGCCACTTTTCAAATGTTTGTTGTATATTGTTTTACCCTTGTCCTGGACCCAGGCTTTCAATATGAAACTGTATCATACAATTTTTGAATTATGACATTTATAAAACTGGAGGGCGTATTTGAGATAAATTATGACACATGATCAAGCATCTGTGTAAATAATATTCATAGAATAATTTAACTGTGCATAATTTCTAATGAAACTGTGTTTTGTAATTGTGCAAATTTTGCTAAATATTTTTATAAAATTGAAATAGTTGTGGATATATTTCATTGTATTTAGTGCTCCTTTAAAAATGTAGTCGACCCTTGTCATGCATAAAAACCTTTATGCAAGTTTCCCTTTGCCTGCATAGACATACATGGGATTGTACAGATAGACCTACAGCTGTATTCAAAGATTACCGTTCTTTCTGTCTCTCTCTTATAGTCTGAGAGGCCTCTGTCTCTTCACTTGAATGCCTCTCACGATGGCTAAGCGGGAAAGTGGCAGCACCAGCCCGGTGGTGCGTCAAATAGACAAGCAGTTCCTGGTGTGCAGCATCTGTCTGGAGCACTACCACAATCCCAAAGTCCTGCCCTGCCTGCACACCTTCTGCGAGAGGTAAACTGACACATCTCAATAGAAAGTGCCTTGTGTATGAATGAACAAATGATTACAATCACGCAATCATAGCCTGAATGCTGCTTTCACAATATGCTAAAGACTGTCTGTGTTCACTGGTTTGGAAGAAATCTGCTAAATGCTGCCGCTTCGGGGGTGTGCCTGTAAAATCACAGCAATCTGGTTGACTTGAAGATGATCCAGTGTGGGGAATAACTAACTAAAACACTAAAAAACACTCAATTAACCACATTTTTAGTAGCATGATAGTAGCTCGACCTTTTTCAGTAGCAAAATGCTTTTTCTGGAAAATAGCAGTGTACATCTTATTATTTTTTTGTAATGTTGTATTATAGCAGAGCAAACTAAGGTGATAATCCAACATGCTTGTCTGTCCACCTGCTCTGATATTAAACATTTGGGAATTTCATTTTAGTGAACCAGTTCAGTCCCCATCCAAATTTCCATTTCCATTTCTTTTTATATAGCAATATAGAAAATAATATTTATTATAATTCTACAAAATAATATAATAATTATTAAATTAAATTATATTGCATTTTAAATTAAAATTAATGTATTTTTCTGAATTGTACACTTGTTAATACTTCCACAGCCTAACCACATTGAATTAATATTCAGAATAGCCACATTGAAAATTTTACACAATAATGTCATATGTATTAAAAGAAAAATAATAATAAAATAAAAGACATTTATTTATTTTTGAATTGCCAAAGTGCACAAACAGTCTAGCAACATTCTGCATTTGAAATTAATTATATATAATATTGAGTTAAAATGAGTAATATGTATATGAAAAACTATTACTGAGTGATATGTAACACAATTTAAATATTTGTGACAGATGTCATTGCCTTCACCTCACAGTGATTGGCTGCCGCCCATTGTTTTTAGCCTCTCATTTCTATAATTTCAAAATTCAACACTCTCACCACTTGGTCTACTCTGTTGGTCTGCTGCTCTGCTCCTATAGAAAATAAATGAAAAAAACCCTGTCCAGCTCCAACGCGCCAGTGCACATGCACAGTTTGACTTAAAGCTCTTCCAGGGCTTCCTAAATAGTAACAAAGCAATGTCACAGATGCTGGATTTTGCTTTAGAATGGCTGTCGTATGACATCATGTTTCGAATCCACCCAGTAAGGCAAAAACAGAGATGACTGTATTCCCTCTGCCGTCACTGAGCTGGAATGTGAGCCGCAGTTTTTTTCCGCTTCTGTCAACAAATCATGTGTCCTCACATGACAGTTAATTGCTCTAATTTTTGTTACTTTATATCGTCCTGTCAAAATATTTACGACTGTAATTTAATGAGACTGAAAAATTGAACACAGACAGACCACGAGTCTCAGGCTACGCCCAGTGCATTTACAATCCATTTGACCTTGGAGGGAAATCTTTACAGCTTGCACTTGTTTTCACACTCTTATCATCACAGATGCCTCCAGAACTACATCCCCCCTCAGTCCCTGACCCTCTCCTGCCCGGTGTGCAGACAGACCTCCATCCTGCCTGAAAAGGGTGTTGCAGCACTGCAGAACAATTTCTTCATAACTAATCTGATGGAGGTGTTGCAGAGGGAGCAGGACTGCACCTGTCCTGAGGCCTCTAGTGGGCTGGAGTCAGCCGGTGCTGCTACATATGCCCCGCCCCTCTCCTGCCCCAACCACGAGGGCAAGGTAAGCACGCACACATCCTGACAGTGCAGTACAGGCCTCCTACTACGAATGACATGTACATACTTCACTGGTGATAGGAAAAGTATACACTTTTGAACAAGTGGTAAGGCTGTGCAAGTATTGGGACAATAGTTTCAAGTGGGAGATATTATATATTATTATTATTATATATATACTGTATTATATTAGATGTAATTATTTGTAGTTATGTGCATAGGAATAACCCAAGCAAATTCTTATTTACCAGCAGTGATATTTTAGTATTATAGTATATTATAGTATTTATTAATATTTTGAATCAGCTTTCATTTTTATATTTTCAGTTTTCCTTTTAATTTTGAGTTTTAATAATCTTAGTACTTAAACGTTTTTTTTTATTTCAGTAAGCTACCAAGGCTTTTCAAGTTCAAGTTCTTCATCTAATATTTATATTTATATTGATATTTATATTATATTTATATTGATTTATTTTTTAAGTTTACTAAAACAATTTTTTAGTTTACAATATCAACACTAGTAATTTACTAGTGGAAATATTTATTAATTTATTTTAAGTTTTTTTATTTATTTATACAATACATTATACAATTATTATACAATTACAGTAAATTATACAAATACATTATAATTCACAAAAACAACACAGTGGAAGTATTTATGAATTTATTATCAACGGTTTTTTTTCTCAGCTATTTACAGATAAGATATGGAGAGAGCTCATAAAATATGAAGTGTAAATAGCATCTGTGCTACTTAAACTGAGTCTTTACTAATCTTTGTGTGCAGCATTTGAATGAGTTTTTGTCGCCCTCTGCAGGTGATGGAGTTTTACTGCGAGTCTTGTGAAACGGCCATGTGTTTGGAATGCACAGAAGGAGAGCACAGAGAACATGTGACTGTTCCACTGCGGGATGTTCTGGAGCAGCACAAAGCTGCATTGAAGAACCAGCTGGATGCTATTCGCAACAGGTTCATGCAGCCAAGAATAATACCAAGCTCACTGTTAAACTGAGCCAGTATTTAAAGCTCATATTTTAACCCATTCTTTATACTGTACACTGAACCATTCTTTTTTTTTTTTTACTTACTTTTTAATACTACAATTTTGGTTTCCCTTCTTTTTTTTTTAAACATTTTTATGTAGTTACTGTTGTGTTTGCAAAGCTCAGCTGCTTGAGTCACATCATGACCTGACTGAACGTTGTCCTCATTCTGCATCCGCAGGCTTCCTCAGCTGACTGCAGCTATAGAGCTGGTAAATGAGATCTCCAAGCAGCTAACAGACAGGAAGAATGAGGCAGTGACGGAGATCAGCAATACGTTCGAGGAACTGGAGAAAGCACTGCATCAGCGCAAGACTACCCTCATCACTGACCTGGAGAACATCTGCAGCACCAAGCAGAAGGTGAAAAGCTTACTCCTTACATACAGTACATATATATAGGGAGAGAGATCGTATTTATTTTATAGTATTTATTCATATTTTGAATTAGCTTGAATTAATTGTATATTTTCAGTTTTCTACTTACAATTATACTAAATATTTTCATATTACTACATATCAAAATTGAATTATTATTTATTTTTATTTTTATTTTTAAATTTATTTTAAATTTTCATGCATTGATTTTGATTATATGTATTCAAATAATTATTTATTATTTAAATATTGTGTAAAGAAATTGAACATACATTTTCACATCTCTAATATCTAAAAATAATTTAAACAATAAATGAACATTAATTTCTATTTTATTTTATTTTTATTTTATTATTTGATGTGCATACGAGTACATCAAGCAGATTTTTATTTATTTATGAATAATTCTGAATTAGCTTTTATTTTATAATTTTTTTTTATTTGAACTTTGATTTAGGTTTTAATAATTTTGTTGCATAATTTTTTTCAGTTTTAGTTCCAGTTACTAAATAATATATTTTTAATTTTATCTCAGTTAGCTGCCAAAGCAACATTTATTTATACATGGAATAATTTTTTTTTTTTAAAGTTTAAAGCTCAGATATTTTATTACATTTTATTTTATTTTATTTTATTTATTTTTTTTTTTGTTTGTTTTATTGAATTGAATTGAAGGGACATCTGTAATTATATCAAATGCTTATGTTGCTGCAGGTGCTGCAGGCCCAACTCACTGCACTACTTCAAGGGAAGGAAAACATCCAGAGCAGTTGTAGCTTCACAGAGCAGGCGCTAAACCACGGCAGCCCCACAGAGGTGCTCCTGGTGCAGAAGCAGATGGGAGAGCGGATGGGTGTTCTGGCCCGCCACGCCTTCCCTGAGCAGCCCCATGAGAACGGCCACCTGGACTGTCAGGTGGAGACAGAGGGGCTGCGCCGCTCCATCCAGAACCTGGGAGTCCTGCTCACCACCAGCGCCGTGGGGCACACCAGTGTGGCTACTGGAGAGGGTCTCAGACATGCTGTTGTTGGACAAAATGCCACTGTTACAGTGACCAGTAAGGTTGGTGATGATGTCACTCTTGGGTTTGAGTTCAGTTTGAAAACATACTGTAAATTTACTGTACTGTACTGTAAACATACTGTACACACACACATATAAAATTCTGGCTGATACCGATATGTAAATAATCAATAATAAATTAATAATTGCTTAGGTTAGGTTAGGGTTATATTTATAGATTTTTAAAATGTAATGTTATTTTTTTTTTTAATTGATTAAAATAATTTATTATTATTAGTTTATTTATTATTGACAAATTATTTATTATTTAAATTTTATGTAATTTTTTTTACATTTTATATGAAAATAAATAATAAAAAATCTGTAATATCTAAAAAAAATATATATTTCTACAATAAACAAAAATGACATATGATTATATATATATATATATATATATGTGTGTGTGTGTGTGTGTGTGTACAAAAAATTAATTTATTAATTTAAAAATTAATTTATATACAGATTATAAATTATTTTGATGTTTTATTTTTTGTTTTATTGTCAGATATATTATTTAAATTTAAATTTAATTTTTTTGTTATTGACTTTTATAAAATACAATTTCTAATATCACTAATGTCATTTTGATGACAATGATATCAAGATATCAAGATACAAACCACTGGTTGTATCAAGATACAAACACAAACTGGTTATTTCAGACAGACTGTCCTTGTAATAAATGCTGTAGCTTGATTTAAGTTTGTAACGAAATCCTCCAACTGCTTCCCTAGGACAAAGACGGTGAGCTAGTAAAGACTGGAAATGCTGCACTGAGGGCTCAGATCAGCGGTCCAAATGGAACCGTCACCGAAACGGACATAACAGACAACAAGAATGGCACTTACGAGATCGGCTACACTCTCCGCTCAGAGGGCGAGTTCTCCTTCTCTGTCCTGCTCTATGGGCAGCCAGTGAGGGGCAGCCCCTTCCGCCTGCGGGCCGTCAAACCCTGCGACGCCCCGCAGTCACCCGATGACGTGAAGAGACGCGTGAAGTCACCCGGAGGAGGTGGAGGGGGTGGAGGACATGTGCGCCAGAAGGCGGTGCGCAGACCCTCAAGTATGTACAGTACAACGAAGAAGAAGGAGAATCCCATTGAGGATGAACTCATCTACAGAGGGGGTGAGTAAAGAGTTGCAAGGTTGTTGTTTTTTTTCTCAAATTGTACTTCAGATTGTGTCCTGTATGCCAAAAATGTCATATTTTCAGATACGTTTCAGATCGCCCTAAAATAAAAATGAATTTTTATGGAATTTTTTTTATGGAAAAATTATATTATATATAATATAATTATGTAATGGAAATTCAGTTGTCAAAAATTTGGGAACAAAGAAATGTTTTTACGAAGATAACAGTGCTATACTGTTTCAGTCTTTTAAGTTGGCCTGTAAAGATGAAAAGGTCCTTTCTGCATTCTGCTTGATTGTTGGCCTGCGTCACAATTTGTCAATTGACGTCTTATTTGATGTGACAGGGACGAGGGGTCGAGAGCGGGGGGAGTTCTCCAACCTGCAGGGCATCTCTACCACCAGCAACGGGCGGATTGTGCTCGCTGACAGCAACAACCAGTGCATACAGGTGAGAATAAACAGCCTGATGGTAGCCTTTAACAGATGGATATATGAATAAATGTGTACCACTTGGCCAGAATAATTTATATGCTGCATTCTGTGATCTTCTAGGTGTTTTCCAGTGATGGTCAATTCAAACTGAAGTTCGGGGTCAGAGGTCGCTCCCCTGGCCAGCTCCAGCGCCCCACTGGCATTGCAGTGGACATGAATGGTGACATTATTGTAGCCGACTATGACAACAGGTGGCTCAGCATCTTCTCTCCAGATGGCAAGTTTAAGGTCGGTTACATTTCTTTCATGATAATTTTAATTAATAAAAAAAAAATATAGCATTCTGCTTGATTGTTGGCCTGCGTCACAATTTGTCAATTGACGTCTTATTTGATGTGACAGGGACGAGGGGTCGAGAGCGGGGGGAGTTCTCCAACCTGCAGGGCATCTCTACCACCAGCAACGGGCGGATTGTGCTCGCTGACAGCAACAACCAGTGCATACAGGTGAGAATAAACAGCCTGATGGTAGCCTTTAACAGATGGATATATGAATAAATGTGTACCACTTGGCCAGAATAATTTATATGCTGCATTCTGTGATCTTCTAGGTGTTTTCCAGTGATGGTCAATTCAAACTGAAGTTCGGGGTCAGAGGTCGCTCCCCTGGCCAGCTCCAGCGCCCCACTGGCATTGCAGTGGACATGAATGGTGACATTATTGTAGCCGACTATGACAACAGGTGGCTCAGCATCTTCTCTCCAGATGGCAAGTTTAAGGTCGGTTACATTTCTTTCATGATAATTTTAATTAATTAAAAAAAAATATATTATTATAAAAAAAAAGAATGAAATATATTAAATACAAAATGTATTAAATTGATAATGAAATAAACCTTAGTTCAATATTAAATGATAAAATTAAATTAAACATGATTCTAAAAGTCATAGAACATCCAATTTTTGGATTTTAAAATAATGTTATTTATGTATCATAAAAAAAAGTCAACTTTCAATGTTTGAGTCAGCTTTCAAACATTAAAAGCGTTCCATACAAAAACATGTATTAAGTATATTTTAGACATTTCTAGACATGCCTTTATTTAAAAAAAAATTATAAAAAAAAATAATAAATAAATGTATAAATAAATATTATTAATATATAATATAAATATTAAACATTTACAAATTTTACATTAAAACTAGTACAAAACTCTTACTCTTAAAAATGTTTGAACTTGCTTTTTCCAAACATCAGATAGCCTTTACTAATTCATGTTGCTTGTGTTCCATTGATCTGATGAATTGGTGATGTGCTAATATGTTGTCTTGCTTTTCTGGCAGAATAAAATCGGTGCAGGTCGGCTGATGGGTCCTAAAGGAGTGGCCGTGGACAAGAATGGTCATATTATCACGGCAGACAACAAGGCCTGCTGTGTCTTCATTTTCCAATCCAACGGCAAGCTGGTGACCAAATTTGGTGCCAAAGGAACATCAGAGAGGCAATTTGCAGGTAATATATTCTTATTTGTCTTCAGCATTGAATTCATGGCCAGATCATGTTTTAATCAGATGTTCCTTTCTGTTTCTCTGCAGACAAAAGTACTCCAAATACACCGACAGAGCCAAAACAGAGTAAATCTGGCCCTGCCTTCAGTGAGCATTCAACATTATTCATTTTTAGTTGATTTATTAGTTTCATTTTGTGCAGTTAGATTGTATTATTGATTATTGAATGAGGTCATCTTAAAATGATATAGAAAGCCTTGTAGGATAATTGATTATCCACATGAAGAAAGCTATGCTGAGAGATTTTTATTTTTTGGTATGTAGGTAGGGGTTGCATGATTCAAGTGTTCTGTGTTGCTGGGTATTTCCTTAGAAACAAAACAGCATGTTGAGAATGTAATGGTCTCTCTCTCTCTCTCTCTCTCTCTCTCTCTCTCTCTCTCTCTCTCTCTCTGTCTTTCTCCTTCTATGGCCATAAGGTCCTCATTTTGTGGCCATAAACAACAAGAATGAAATTGTTGTGACAGATTTCCACAATCATTCTGTTAAGGTACGGTAAGCACTTCTCTTTTACTGTGTAAATTATTCCACATGTCATAACCTGGATTGTTTTGGATTTATGGCTTCTTGCAGGTTTACAATGCTGATGGCGAGTTCCTGTTTAAATTTGGCTCGCATGGCGAAGGGAACGGCCAGTTCAATGCACCCACCGGTGTGGCTGTAGATGGCAATGGGAATATTATTGTTGCAGACTGGGGTAACAGTAGGATACAGGTAGGCTATTCATTTTTGTCATTGAGTAATTAAATTCAAAAATGATGTAGTAACTTTACAGTTTATAGACGAGTTGAGACAGAATTCAAAATGTATGAATTTCATTGCTTTAGATAACAAAAGATCAAAACTAATAGCAGCTGCAAAGTATGATTACGCTGAGACATTTTTTTCTATTCCAAAAAAAATGCAATTACTTTCAGCTTTTCCTTTTATTTTGTAACATTGTTATATATATAATTTTTATTCACTGTAAATTATAAAATGTATTACACTTTTTTGCCTTTCAGCTACCTAGCTGTATTTTATTTCTTAATTTCATTTTATTTTTTTAACATATATATTTTAATTTAAAAATCTATTCCACTTTTCTAAGACATTTTTGCAATTACTTTCAACCACCTAGCCCTATTTTATTTTATTATTTTATTTTGTATTTAATTTTTTATTTTATATCTTATTATTATTATTTAATTTACAAAAAAAAAAAACATTTTTATTTTTTTTAGACATTTTTACAATTGCATTTTATTTTCTAATATAATTATATATATTTTTGTAAAATATTTTATTAAAAAAACTATTTTTTACTTTCAGCAAATAATTTTGAGTTTTATAGTACAATTACATTTTGAATTTAAAAAAATGTTTTTTAGAATTCACTTTATGGACATTCATTAAAAATGTTGATACTAATGAATTACTAAAAGTTCCTTTTGTTGTTTAGGTGTTTGACAATTGTGGCTCTTTTCTGTCGTACATCAACACGACGGCGGATCCTTTGTACGGTCCGCAGGGTCTGGCTCTCACGTCAGATGGCCATGTGGCCGTGGCGGACTCTGGAAACCACTGCTTCAAAGTCTACCGATACCTGCAGTAAACACTCACCGTGATGGAAGAGTTCATATACTGTAAGCTCTGACAGTCTTCTTTGGCATTTCATGTTTTCCTTTGCACAAGTCTCTGCACACAAATTTCCAGCCATCTGACTCATGCTGATGTGAACAAACCCAGGGCTTCATGAATGTTGCATCCCTATTTGATCAATTTGCATTGATTTGTTTTAACAGTCACTTCCTAAATGAATGTATACCGAACCCAAGCAAGTAATAACACAGTCGCTGTGAATATAACAGTGATCGAGGGCAGCTATCGGTGTGCTTTCACAAAAGTCTTTCTTGAAAACCTTAAAAGCTGCTTGACAAACCCCTCTAAATTGCAGGGAACAAAATGGTGGTCAATGTTTTCTGGGCAAATCATTAATGCAACAGCTTAAGAATGACCTGCGGATGGCGCTATCTCACATCAAACTGGCCTTTTGTGCATTGACTAGCAGTACATGTGTATGCGTTCGTATCATATGGTGTAAATCTGATCGCCATTGATTTGCTGTAATATGGTTTTGGAGATCCACTCTCTCTTAGTGCGCTGAAGCTCAATATTAAAGTAACCCGGCTGTCAATGTGCTTTAGTAAAACTGCTTGTAGGTTCATCGTGCCTCTGATTTTAAAAGCTACGCCTATACGTCACATGGGCTTTCCACATAGCACTGACCACAACAGCACAACTGACATATTGCATGCGTTTTATTCACGTAAAAAGGTTATAAAGCAAGTTTATTTATTTTGTAAACAATGGTTAATAATGTTATTTTTCGAAGTTGAAGTGTTTTGTTTATCTGCAGTTCAATGCCTTCAGTGGTTTTCACAAGGTGTGCAAAGCTAACGTGTTGTGAAATACAACCGAGTTTTTTTTAATGCACATGATAGTCACCTTGTCATTAAAGGGAATGCAGATATGTCATATGAAGACACCGGAAATATGAACATTAAAAAGGGAAAATGAAGTCACACAGCCACAAAATTCATAAAAGAACAATTTGCAGGGTACTTGCCATAGTTTACCATATTACTGAAGCATTTACTACTGTTTTTTTTTTATTATTTTTATTTTGTTTTTCTATGAATGTAATCAAATGAATGAAAAATAAAAAAAATACTGCATTAGATATGACAGTTTGATCATTCTGGCCCTCAAAAGCAATGAATTCTGAATCAGGAGAGCATTTGTACTTTATATAGAGTCATGATTCTGGTTTTACAAACATGTGCGAGCAAAAGCCAGTGTTGTTTAAGCCACTAAATACAGTATTCTGTAGTAGAACTGTACAGTGTATAACAACAGTGGGGCACGTGAAGCATTTGAAACATAGTATTTAAACTGCAATAATGCACTCTTGATGTAGCTTCTCTAAAAGTAGCCCTAAAAATGAAGGTTGTGTGACACTGAAAAGTTAAAGGTCATCATGCCAGAGATTTTTGTAATAGAATTCTTCCCATTTGACTATGTAACAGAATAAAGGGTAACTTGAATCTACCATATTGCCAATACACATGAAAAACTGAATTGAAATGCTTCAGACTCTAGTTTCCAATGTACCAAACAACTGTAACAGTCTCTTTATATGTCAGTATGCACTAGAAATAAAAGCACATGATTTACCGAGCCAAATAACGATGTTGGAAGTGGTTATTTTCCATCTTGTCTTCTAAATGTCACAGCGTTTAATGGGGTGTTGCTTTAGAAATTCATTAAGAAGATGGCAGGCAGAGCGACTTATGGTTGCCTTGCATTTCTTTTCTTCTGGTATCTTCTCGATCCACATGTCATTGTTCAGCACATACCCGAAACTTCAGAAACAACAGAAGAAGAATGTTTTACAAATCAAAAACAGCAATTTGCATTCCTTTGTCTTTTTTTTAAATAAACGATTTCAAGTCTTACTGTTGTCCGTCGTTATTGAGCACTGATATTGCATCATCCTGCCCCATGATCAGATAGTGAGCTTCATTTTTCAGCTCCATTTCATCACAAGATAAGCGCAGTATCATCTGACATGTGGCATCTTTCTGGACACCAGAATCCAACACTCCTTAAACAGGAAAAAAAGTGTTAATATATTATTTATGCAATAAGTTTCTGTGTTAACGGCATTAGTGCATTAGGTATTTTATTATGTACTTTACAGAATCCATAACATTTATATTTATTAATTTATTAGACACTTTTATCCAATGTACAGTTACAGGGTTTATTTTGAAATAATGGCTAGCTGACTGTACTTTATGCAGATACTCACCAGAAATTATATTTCCCGACCAAAATATATTCAATATAACATTTAACAATATAAAAAATATAACATTTATTTAGTTTCGACCTTCATATACAAATATATATTTCAAAATGTATTTCAGGGGCAAGAAAATACACTTCCAATCTTAGCCATACTAGAGATCAAAACTTGATTTTAATGATTTAATAATGTTATCTATCTATATACACGCATATATATATATATATATATTGTCTACCAATATATTTACAAAAATATATTTTGAAACATACATTAGAATTTTTTTTGTGGTTGAGGGCAATTTTTTCTATATTTTGAAATATATTTAAAAATATATGTTGATGAAAAATTCTGGTTTAAGTTGAACTAATTTTATGATTTTACCTGGATATCATCTTAAAAATTCCACTAAGAAAAAAAAGGCAATTACTATAGTAATATTATAACAGTAATATTAATACTGAAGTCCTTCGAGGTCATTTTCAGTGCAAATAGGAGGACATAGTAAATTTTGACAGGAGAGACATGAAAATAGTGCAAAATAATTCCACGCTATGATCAAATGAGTTATTTATTTTGCTTATATTATTATTATACAGGACGTTTTTAACTGCTGGATGGCGTAATTCACCCATCAAAATTAAGTTTTCAAAATAGCAGAATAATAATTTACCAATCTGAAGAATATCAGTGACTAATGTGGTGTAGTACATAAAAACGTCATCGGTGCTTGAGCTGAGAATTTTGATCCCATAGACTATAGAAAACAGAACACATTTAAAATATAAATAAGTGTACGGACACTTGTCAACATATTTGTACATTATTTGCTTTTAGTTTCTCACCATAGTCAACAACAGGACTGTAACATGCATAGCTACTCCGCGTGTTGTGTTTCATATCCTTGCTGAAGGTGACGTTTAGCTTTGGACAACCACCTGAAAATAAGTGTGAAATATCAAATAGATACATTGTTTCCACTTAAGCAAAACATATATCACAGTACACTAGAGTATTTCCCACCTTCGGCCCATGTACACATCCCCGCTACACAGTTTGGAAATCATTGGGCTTTTGTGAGGGGCTGTATAAAATATGACATCTCTTTTCCTCGTAACACATTGAATAAATAGCATTAGTCAGTGTTCAGCACTCAGAAGTGTTGTCATCAAAGTGTTTGGTTCATAGCGTTTGATGACCTGGGTTGTACCTTAAAAGTAACTGGAATCCATTGACCACACCAAAAGAGTTGAAAATAAAAGTTTTTAGTGAGTAAAAGAAGGGTACCTTTACTTGCAGAGGGATAGAGTGAGAGTCAGGTTGCTCGAAATTTCAAAGACAGCGGTTCTTAAGAAAAAGTCAAGCTGCAGACATTGGGGACAACAAACCTACAGACCAGCAGTGGGTGAAAACGACTGTCCACTGACCGGGATGACCACCAACTCATTCGGATGTCACTGAACAACCACAGGATGACATCACGTGATCTACAAAAAGAATGGCAAGGCAGCTGCGGTGAAGTGTACGCAAGGCTCTTAGGGGCAGGGCTGAAGTCGTGCAAAGCAAGAACAAAGACCTTCATCAGCTAGTACGATGGCGGTCCCTGACGTGCATGCATGTAGCCTGGCAGGTGCTGCGTGTTGTTTGTGCTGTTTGTCTAAACCATCTAAACCCAAATTTTCATTACATCACTGGATTATAGTTCCATACATTGTGGCGCTGTTGTTGCTGTCTGTGCAACATCGCTTTAACAAAGAAAACACCTGTGTTGGCAGTAGCCAACACCTGCTGTACTCCAAACTTAACATCAATGGATACGCAAAGATGTCCTCCACATCGCGTGAAATGCCATCTAATCCACGCCATGGGCTCGTTCAACTCACCGTATTATTACTTCTTGCTGGTGATGTAGAACGCAATCCCGGACCGCAACCAACAGCGAAAACACAAACTGGCATTTTTCAATGTGCCTTGTTTGCAACCCTCCTCAACAATCTGCTCATAGCCAATGCTAGGCTCGGACTACCACTGCCCTACATTCCCCTGCCGTTGCCAGGGCAGCCCTTGTTCGCTATTCGATCAATGGCCTGTTTTTACTTACCCCCTGTGTTGCCGTGGTTGTCTGTGCCGGTCGCTCGGTTGGGGGCCTTTGTTGGCGGCTGTTCGGTGGAGTTCGCTTGGGTGGCGCCGTCGGTGGCCACCGGCCCGGGGCTGTGGTGGAGTCTTCTGGGGTGGCGTTGGCCGCTGTTCCGGAGCGTTTGCAGCTGGGGGCTGTGTTTGGCTCGACAAACTCCAGCGGCGGTGGCGGTGTTGAGGAGGTCGTCTCGTTGCAAGAGCGGAATATTAACATCTCCAGTGGTGAGTCCCGAGATATACCGGATCGTCGGGGGCCCTACCTCAGAAAGCGGAGTCAAAAGAAAAGCAGGGATATATTGCCCTGGCTAAATGAAGAGTGTAGGAAACGTATGAAGGAAAGAGATCAATTATTGAAACAATCTTTAAAAGCAGGTCTTACAATAGACCGACAAAAATGTTCATGAATATGCATGGTCCCTATTAAATAAACCAATAAATAAAAATAAAAATCAATAAGAGGCAAAGAAGAACCAGCCTGAGGTTTGCAAAAGACCATAAGGATTTGACCTTAGAGGACTGGAGTATGATTTCAGTTTTCAGCTTTGCCCAACACCTCGTCGTTTAATGGTAATGGGAGGCCTACACTGTGAAATTTGATGGAGGATCAGTGATGATCTGGGTGTGCTTCCGAAAAGCTGGAATCGATGGATTTGTTTGTGTGAAGGGTGCATGAATCAAGCCACGTACAAAGTTGTCCTAGAAGAAAACTTGCTTCCTTCTGCTCTGACAATGTTCCCTAACTGTTTTTTTCCCAACAGGACAATGGTCCACGCCACACAGCCAGGTCAATCTAGGTGTGGATGGAGGACCGCCAGAGCAGAGCTGCTTTTAAGTTTTGTGCCACAAGTGGCAAAAAGTCACCCAACAGCAATGTGAAAGACTGGTGGAGAGCATGCCAAGACACATGAATGCTGTGCTTGAAAATCAGGGTTATTCCACCAAATATTGATTTCTGAACTCTTCCAAAGTTAAAACATTCATATGGTTTTGTTTGAAATTAATATGAAATTGTTTTCTTTGCACTATTTGAGGTCTGAAAACACTGTATCTTTTTTGTTATTTTAACCAGTTGCCATTTTCTGCAAATAAATGCTCTAAATGACAATGTTTATTTGGAATTTGGGGAAAAATGTTGTCAGTAATTTATAGAATAAAACAAATTACTCAAACACATACCTATAAATAGGAAAACCAGTGAAACTGATCATTTTGAAGTGGTCTAATTTTTTTTTACAGAGCTGTATATATTCTATATACTGTTCTATACTATATTCTTGGACAGAATTACATAAAAAAAATACTAAATACTTCCAACAGTTACATTGTTTGACCAATAAATCAGTAGGGTTTTGTGTGTTGAGGCATCTCAAAGAAAAGCTCACTTTTAGCTCATTAATGTTCATTTGATACCATGCTAATTTGCATCACATTCATCATTTGGACAAAAGTCATGACAATGATCTCCAAAAAAAAAAATAGCTGACTGTGAAACATCAAAGAAATGTTACATGGCAAAAATCACTGATCATTTCCCCAAACATTTTATCTGACTTATAATAATACACTATAATACATTTTTACACAGTAAGTGTAGATAAAAATAAAACCATGCAAACTTGATAGTGACCATAAATATGTAAAATACAGAAAAAGAATACTAATGTGCTTTTGTTGTGCCAAAACTGAAACCATTTCACTCTTATGGAAACTTGATTAAAGCAAAAACAGTAGTTTGATGTTATTGAAGTTATTGTATTACAGTACATTTCATTTGTAAAGTAGAAACAATAGCAGTGAAAAAAACACAAAAATGTAAAAAATAAAAAACAAAAACTATTTATGGATCACCCATCCAGTATAGACTAAAATTTGATTCTTTCAACCTTATAATACTAACAAGCCATTAAAAAAATGATCAGTGACTGAAAACAACCTGTATTTATACAATATCATCTTTCCCATAATACCATTCTTTCATCTAGCACCTTTGGATATAAAGTAAAACTTTCATTTGGATAAATATCAATGCCATCAAGCAGTAGTAGCAGTAGTTTACAACCCATTCTCTCAGCAAAAGATTCAGACATCAAACAATTATTAAAGCAGTGACAACAGAAGTGCTTTTGAAATTCAAGTACACTTTCGGACTGACAAAATCCCGAGGAGAGGTAGAGCGCAACCACTCCTAGTCACTATGTGTCCTTGCGTGCCCGAGCAAATGAACAAGAGGCACTTGCAAACAAAAAGTGATTTGAATAAAAGGGTCCACTGTTGGGAAATCAAACCTCTGAGCTGTCATTGCTATCGAGGCCTTGTGTCATCATGGGCTCTGTGCTGCTGGAGCCTTTTGGGGACTCGGTGATGTTCTTGTCCCGTCTAGATCGCACCACCAGAATGACGAGAATGACGAGGAGGATGGTGAAGAGAAGACCCACCAAGATTCCTATGATCACAACAAGCCGGTCGTCACTAGAGTCCCTTTGATTCAATTCTCTAGGAATGATACCCTCCGCCTGGGATTCCTCATGAAGGTTGGGATGTTTTTGAGTGCTGCGGTCCAGCGCTATGTGTAAGATGTTTGTGCCACGGTTATTTTCTGTGCCAATATCCTGAGCCAAATCTGGAACGTGGTTGGCTGACCTTTTGAAAATCGAGTGGCTGTGTGTCACAGAATGATAGTCAAGGCTCCTTTTCCCAATGCCTCGGTTAGCGTTGTCTCTGGACCGGACGGTGTAGATGGTGTGAATGTACCACTCCCTGCCTGCCGACACCTGGACAGTGTAATAGTGTTAGAAGCACAACAATATCGCGATGTGTCTTAATTTGGCAGCTGTTGTGTCCCTCTTACCTGAAACAAAGCTGTGGAATCCAACCTAAAGCCGTCAGAGCCCGGCTGCCTCACCAGCGGCAGCGCCTGAGGATCGTCTACAGCGAGGAAAGCATTGAAACTAATGCTGCCAAATGTTCTCGCCTGAGTTTCTGGCTGAGCTTTGTCCTGCAAAGCAGAATGAGTTAAAAATCGCACATTCTTCTGCCTAATGATCAAGAATGTTCTCCATGTTAATGGAAACGTTAGACCTACTTGACATGAAAAATATTTAACATTAAATTTAGAGTTTTATTTGTGACTCTGATGAACAATTATTAGTACTGAACAGTGTTATAATTAACTAAAAGTATTACAATTAATACTATTCTAAATATAAAACATTTATGTTAACTGAAATAAAATAAACAACAGCTGAAATGAAATACAATCTAAAAAAAAAACATTTCATTAATGAAAAATGTATTTTATTTCTTTCAGTTACTTGCCAAGGCAACAGTAAAAAAATGTTAGCTTAAGTTGAAGTACTAAAATTACTTAAAAAAAAAAAAACTAAATTAAAACCAAAATAAAAATGAATAAAAACCAAACAAACATATACAAAACTAATACAAATTACAAAAACAAAACAAAATTGCTAAAACTTAAACCTAAAATGGAAACGGATATTATACATAGAAAAACACTAATAATAAATTATAGATACTAAAATAACACTGAATCAGCTAGATCTAGATTGCAGCTGTTATGTTTAATTTCATTGCATGTGTGCAAAATTTCATAAATATGATTAATTGTAACTTTGCAACTGTTTGTATGTATTTCCTTGATGCTACTGCAGGTAAGTTGTTTTTCGAGTCTAAGAAAACGTACTTCAACTTAGAGATTGATTTATATTAATGAACTTTTTTTAACAACAAGTTCACACTTCATAAGTAAATATGCAAATTTAATTTTACCTAAATTCTTACATTTTCCTGGTGGTTTTGCTGTTTACAAAATTTGCCTTTTGCTTTTATCTAATCTACATTGTCCAACTTTTTATGCAAGGTTTGGGCTTTATTAAAACAGTGTTCATACTTACAATGATCTTAAATCGGTACAAAAGAGACGGTGAATCAGCTAGGCAGCCGTACTCAAATTTGTCAGGGTTGTATTTTGGGATGTATCCATCCGCCCCTGTGCACAGGAACACCTTCTCAATGTTACAGATGAATGAGTCTCCAAGATTCTGAACGGGATCCACCATTACACGGCCGTAGATGACATCTCCTAAACAATGCAACAGCCATAAATTAATGACAGGTGTCATATTTCAAATACTCAAACAGAAATAAAGAGTTGTTCGTAGCATTTTACCCTCTGAGAAAGCCATATCACTCTCCTGACCAAAGCCCATGGAGCCGTCTGACAACCAGAGAGTCTTCTTTGAAAGCAGCAGCATCTGTGTGTTAAGACTGAACTCTGCGGACACTGGATCACTCACCTAAAGCCAACAACACAAACGTTACTTTTCTGTAGGAAAACTGAGATATGTTAGATTTTCTCATCTGTCTTAAAGCTAATACTTAATTTAAGTAGTGGCTTTTGAAGGTATTGTGTTTTGCAAATTATAATAATTATTAATATATTGTATAATTTTCTTAGATTTGGAATTTTTTGATTTTTGAAGGTAATATATATATCTTTATTGATCAACATAAAATAAATTTAGTTGAACAAAGTAGCAGTACAAATATAGTCAGACAACATAAAAGTAAAAAAAAAAATCAATATATAAATATATACAGTATATATATATATATATATATATATATATATAATGTATTTAATTGACCAAAATTGACAGTAATCCTAATGCTACAAAATCTTTTTTTTCTTTTGAACTTTTTATTCATCAGAAATTCCTGACAAAAAATATTTCCTTGCTTTCCAAAATATTAAGCACCACATCTCTTTTCAACATTGATAATAATAAGAAATGTTTCATTAACACCAAATCATGATATTAGAATGATTTCTGAAGATCATGTGACACTGAAGATTGGAGTAATGGCTGCTGAAAATTCAGCTTTACTATCACAAGAATAAATTACATTTTAAAATATATTAAAATACAAAACAGTTATTTTAAATTGTAATAATGTATATATTATACTTCATATTCATATTATATTTAGTATTAATATTTCACAACAGTACTGTTTTATGTTTATTGCTTTGTTTAATGTTAAAATAAAATGTTATTTTTAACAAGGTGACTGTTCAAGCCAAACTGACATGTTTGTCCAGGACATTTCAGAGCTGATTGTTTTGTTGATTATTTCTGTGACGCAGGTTTTGTGTTGGAAGCGTATGTCCAGATCAAAGGTAATTGGCTCTCTGGGGTGGCACACGGGACGGAAGCTGTACTCAACACCGGGAGAAGCCATGCAGGGAACCAGTTTCACCGTGTACGTTCCTGAGTAATCCCTCACCTGCAGGAAAGTATTTCAACACTTACTGTATCAGAAGAGACAGTAAAGGGACCCAATAATGACAAATCCAATCATGAACATATCAAGAGCAGATTTTGCTTTGAACAA